TTCTGAGCAAAATAGAGCCTTAGAGAGAGAAAGTGCGAAGAACAAACCCTAGGAGCTATTTGGAGTGGATTTCTCACCATTGAAGCCCAGATTGCATCCCCAGGAGTGAAGATTGAAATTCCATAGTAGATTATTCCCATCTTTATGAGTATGAGTGCTTTGATTTCTATTTTCCTCTCTCTCTCTATGGAGTAGACCTTTCTCTCACTAGGGTATGAAGAACCCTAGTTCCATGTGTTAGGGATTTGAGTTGTAATGACTTTTGGATTGATATACTGTTTGATTATAATCGATTGAAGTGTATTTATTGAGTCAATTGAATCCTGATCAACTTCTTTTGATTCTGCTGCAACCTGAGATAGATAGAATCTGATTAGGTTGTTAGAGCTTCTTCAATCGAAAGGAGTGAAATAGGGGTGGGACAATCAACTTCACGGTCTAGGCTCTCTTTTCACGGTCTTACAGACCGTGAAAACTCAACTCCGTCGTGATCCTCAGTTGCTTCCTCCCTTTGACTCATTTTCGTCCCACTTTCGATTCCTCGGTCAGTTTCACCTGCTAGGTTCTGAAACATAATAAAACAAAGTGCAACCACACCTCACGGAGAACAAATGCATCAAGCGTCTAAGGAAAACGATGATAAAATGTGTTCAATTGTACCCGAATCACTCCCCCACACTTAGACGTTTCCAAACAAGGTGATATCTCAAGACAACAAGATAACTCGGGGACATAGCGAGGAGATGCAAGATGATCTCATGAAAGAAGTTGCTTGGAGACTTGCTCTTCAATCCATGCTAGAAGAGCGAGAAAGGATGAGGAAAGAAGTTGTGGAGGATGACGGGAGTGAATTAAAGAAAGTGCTTGATCTTTTCCAAGGGGAGGAATCAAATTCTGAAGAAGGAAAGGGGGGGGGGGGGTTGAAGAAGCAATTGGCGTCCAGGCTGAGAATGAATTTGAGGTGGAAGAGGCTTGCACCGGCCATGAGTTACAAGTGATATCTCCACCAAACTTCGAGGAGCTGCTTGGCAGAGACCCATTTGTAATGTCTCTTTGCCATACCAAGGCCACACCAACATCCATCCCTCTTGGTGGATGCGATGGTGGTCAATTGATGTTTTCCTTCATGGTTTGGGGCAATGAGACAAGAGAAGAAGAGAAGAAGAGGTCTCGAGGGTGGAGACTTCATCTGACTCAAGTACATGAGTCTACCCCACTTGATGCACCACATGCTCGTGACTTGAGATTCCACCTCATCGACGAGAACCTCAACTTCAAGGAGGTTTTGGGGTGGACCAAAACTTAGGAGCCACCGTCCGGCTCACAACGTGAAAGAAGCCGCTTGTTGGGAGGCAACCCAACCAGTCGGTTTGCATTTCTTTCCCTATTTCTCTTCGGTTGAGTCCATTTTGTTCTTTAATTTTAGAGTCAATAACTCAACCTTTGTGAGGTTTTGTGTGGTGTTTGTGTTCCGAATGCTCTCTGCTCTCTTGGAATGCACTACTTGCCCCCGTCCACCATCATTCACACTTGATCTAGTAACTTCGTTCTACCCTCCTTATCTTTCCTCCATTGAGGACAATGTCGTGGTTAAGTGTGGGGGGAATGTACCATTATGTATGTGTGTGATGAATGATGTGTTTTGCTTGTCTTGGAGCCTAGTCCATTGTCCAAATCTCGAGATTTGAGGGCTCCATGTCCTAATGTTTGCATGATCATATTGGCACTATGGTTTATGTGGTGAATCGGTTGGTTGTTAACATTGATGCATGACAACTTGTTTGTGACTAGGACAACCTATAATGATGACTGAGACGCGCGGTAGAGTTGTGTAGGGGTTCAGTTTTTCAACTGTTTGCTTACCAACTGCGACTTGGATTGATCACTCATTTTTTACTGTCATTTATGCATCTAGTTCAGGGAATCAGAATGAGAGATAGAGCATATAGGTAGCCATGTGAGATTTGAGGCTGCTTGTTTCTTTCTTTCTGATGCGATAGATCCCTCTTCCATGATGTGTAGCATGTACGTTGCCACTAGTTAGGATGATGGAGGCATAGGATTAACCCATGACCAAATCGACTGTCCTGGGGTGTCATACCCCCTAGTCAGCCCCTTCGAGCCGTGTAACTTTCTTTCTTTGTGTACAATGAAAAATCACCCTTATGCATCTCTTTGAGGTTTCATAGAGTGGTTTGTGCATGTTTTCTGCTATTTTCTATTGGAAATAAGATGAGGTTTGGAGGTAGTTCTAACAAATTGGGCATGTGTTTGCAAGGATAAAAGAATGTGAAGTGGTGGTTCTCTCAAGAAAAGAAAAATAAAAATTTAAAAAAAAGGAAGTAAGAAAAAGAGCCACCACAAAAATCGTAATCTTGCCCATTAGATAGTGTTTCTTGGCACACTGGCCTGGAAATGCTTACAAGGAAATCACGGCTTAAGGGCAGAGATTGCGACCGAGAAGAGGAGCCGTAAAGCCAACCACAAGATTGCGCCTTCTGGAGAAAAGATCACACCTTCTCCTCCTCCTCCTCCACCACCCCCCCCCCAGGGCAATGTAGGAGGTGCCAGTCATGAACTTGAGCCAGCAGCAAGGAACGGACAAAAGGTTCCAATAGTTGACTCGCAACCTCAGTTGTCCAAGACTGTGATAAATATCATGTTTGTGACTTCTGGATCACGACCGTGAAGTCGGGCCGCGAACTCCTGGCTGACTCGCCCAGATAGACCACGAATTTAAAACCCGACTAGAGCCCAAGTATAAACTCTAGGCGGATGAAGTATAGAGCAAGTATGTTTTAATTGTCAAACCCGGGCCGGTCCATGTACCTATACTTCTATCTCTTAAGTTTTTATCTAGCAAATGGTTTTGGGTTTAAAACTAAGAAAACTACAAAATAAACAAACAAATAAAGTAAAGCGAGGAGAATTCTATATGAGAGGACTTCACTTGGGTATTGCTTCCCCTAGTATCGTGCTAAGAAACAATGAACAAAACCCTAGTGTGAAGGAAGTGTTCATACACCGTGAGACGGGTGCAACTAGCTAGGAACAAGCTCTCCTAGTCAATCGATCAAGGAAAACCGAGGAAACCCTAATTCTCTTAGTTGACCAATTAAGAATTGTTGCATTAAGTTAGTAGACTAACTCTCTTAACCTTTCTCTTAATCTTTCGGCTACAGGTGACAACAATAGGCTAGGCAATCTAGCTCTCTTAACTAACCAACCAAGGAATGTAAGACCCAACCCTCAGAAGTAAATCTGGCCTGCGGAGAGACCAATCACATCAAAATCATGGTACTAGTCCGATACTTGAGGTTTCGGCTCTAGATCAACCCAAAAGGGGTTATTCAAGTGATAGGAGATCAAGCTCCCTATGGGCCAAAGGGGGGTTTCCACATTCTAGGTTAATTTGACCCAATAATGAGATAATGCTAGCAACACTCAATCATTCATGATTAATACCTCAAATATTATATAAAATACACAATCATCACATGAGAATCATGTTCTTACATCCCAACACACATCTAAACTAGGATTCAAAATCCCATAGTGAGTAGATAGGCTATTCCATAGCTAAGCAAAGGAAAACAACAAAAAGGAGAGAACGAACCATTAAGAGATGACAATCTTCCTTCCTTGTTGCTTGTACCTAAACCGCAAGTATCATCTAATACACTTTAAAATGACAAAATACTCCGAGAAATAGGGGTGAGAAACGGTGCGGTTGCGGTTAACTGCACCGCAATTTGCGGTTAACTGCAACCGCAAAACACCCATATTAGCCAACCGCGACCGCGTCCCTCACGGTTAGCGGTTAACCAAAAACCGCAGAACGCGGTTAGCGGTGAACCGCGGTTTATGGTTGTAAAAACCGCAACAACCGAAACAGTATACGAAACCGCGGTTAAACAATCTAACCGATAATTAACCGCGAACTAACCGCAAAAAATTCATGGGAAAAAAAACACAGCAGCTACTGTTTTGTCTATTTTCACTTCCATCAAGCCCCTGCATCTGTTTGCATATCCAAATAACACAATCCACAAATGCACACGCCTGACGGTCAGGAACGGCGGCGGGCGGATGGCAGCGGCGCAGCACCGCAGCGGGAAGATGGGAAGGGTCGAAGCTCGACTCGAAGGGTTTTCAGTTGCTGGTGGGAAGGGACGAAACGAAGGGTCGAAGGGAATTTTCGATTTTTGTTTCGTCAAATCAAAATGGCGGCAGGCAGAAGTGGGGGAGGGGCCGGGTCGGGTTTGGGCTGCTGCCTGCTGGGCTGGGGGTCAACTTTGGGTTGGGCTGGGGGTCAATTATGGGATGGGTCTGGGTTGCGGTTAGCCTTGCGGTTATATGGATTTGCGGTTTCAGTTGCGGTTAAACCGCAAAACAGCCCATATCTCCAACCGCGACCGCAAAATAGGCAAAATATGCGGTTTGCGGTTAACTAATAACCGCACGGTTTCAGTGCGGTTATCGGTTTAACCGCGAAACCACAACCATTTTCCCAGCCTTACTGAGAAACAGATTCAGGGATCCATTTGATAATTTATTAACCATTAAAACCATAGAATGACCTGAAAGGCTGAAACCAGACTTCACCACCACCTCCTTTTTCTCGGTAACTCCACCATAAAATGGTAAGCAGAATTGAGAGAGTAAATCTCCAAAGATTCACCCGTCCATACAAACTTCTGTAACAACAATAGAATAACTAGAATTGCACGAATCGTACACTCATCGAAAACTTGCAAAGGTGAAAAATGGAAATCACCCGTCAGTTTGCGTTCCAAAGTCCGATGATATTAACGAATAATGAACTTCCTAATCACTCGTCCTTGAGTATGGTGTTCACTATATAAGCTCTCGATCAGTGACCGAAACAATCTACTAGCTAACTACAAACTACCTTACGACCAAGAGCAGAAAAAAAGGATAGTAAGAACTAGCTTCAAGCCTTCAACACAAGCTAACTTATACACTAATAATTAAGCTTCGCCCTCTCCTTTTCTAATCAATGATGAGCTACAAATAATTCAGGAAAAAAAATGGCAATTAATAGTAAACTCAGCAGTCGACGCATCTGCCGAACTGTTGGCGAGGGGTGTGGCGGTTGTTGGCTCCGGATCCCGGGTAGTCGTTTAGCTCCACCGCCCTCCGCTGCACCATGCTTGTTGATGTTGTCATCATCCCTACTTCCTCTTCCAGACTCATCATCTTTCCTTGTTCCATGTCCTGAACAGAGTAGAAGCAAAAATTACAGTCGACGACCAAATCTACGATACCGAGCCGTAACTATCAATTACAATACCTGGTGGTTGATCGTCGAACGTACGGCATGTTGTTCTTGATTTAGGATTAATCTGGCACTTCCTGCCAGAATTTGCAAGAACAATCAGACATGGCAATCTGTGGCAGAACCAAACCGAAGATGACAATAAGAAACAGAGGGACAAAAATCCTTACTTGAAACCGGGGCGGCATCAATTATACTTGGGCAGATGAATAACAGGTAGAGGATCCCCATAGGCACTACAACGAGCGACCTAGATAAGCTAGGACTAGGAGTAGTGCCGATGCCTGGTGCAGCCATTGCTTAACTGGAGAACAGAAACCAGCAGCTTGCTTCGTATTGTATTGCTTAATTACACTCTGTCAAGAGCATTTCTACTATACTATATAGTATTGATGCTTTTATGTACAACTTAAAGTTGTACCATAACATGAAATGTATAAGTTTAGATTGTACCATAAAAGAATTTGTGTCATTATGTTATGGTACAACTTTACAACTTGAAGTTGTACCATCACATAAATGTACAAGTTCAAGTTGTACCATTAAAGAATTTGTACAAACAGAATAGGTATAATCTAAAGTTGTACCATAACGTTAAATGTACAATTTCAAGTTGTACCATAAAAGCAAAAACCTATAGCACCAATACTATATAGCATTGTAAAATTTCTCCACTGTCAAATACCCTCTTCTTTTATACATTGACAACGGAAAGTGGGCTGCGGCCCTGTGTAATTGTAAGTGTAACTTTTGTGGGTAGTGGACAGAGAAACACACACAAGTCAAACGGCTGGGATAGGAACCAGCATCCACAGCATTGGATTAATTAAACAAAGATCTCTTCATTTTTCCATTGAGTGGTGGTGGTGGCCTGGTGGGTTGGGGGAAAATGTGACCCAAATTGTTAGTCAGTCGTAGTGGGGGGAGGTGTACTGGAGTGGAATGTGATGTGATGGAAGAATGATAATGGGATGAATGTTATGGTGTTGAGTTTCTGCACTAAGGTAGGTAGGGAGGTCAATGGGGAGCCTTTCCCTTACTCCCCTGTAGTGGAAGCCATACATATGGCATGTTCACTTAATGGGATGGATCAGAGTGGCGACAAATTGCTCACATCCTTGAAAAGTGATCCACAAGAAAGGTCACCCAGTCTGTTCATGTAAATGGAGAAGTGGGAACGGAACACCAACTTTCTACATCTTTTACAGCCCACTACACAGCTCTGTGAGCTCACCTTAACTATTCAATGTACATTGTATATAGTGGCGGATCTAGGGTGGTCACCCCGGCCACGGACCAGCCCTTCTCCTGATCCGAAGCTAGTATAGTCCTCATGAGTTTATCGATTTTAGTCATTCGGCTCAATGTTATTTTATAATAAAATTGTGTGCAAATAGAAAAATGGGTCAGATGAACACATTCAAATCACAATTCTGAATTTAGCCTGAAAATTTTAGCTCCAATGATTCTCGTCTAAAGAAAAACAAATAATGTAACCTAAAATTCCAAAAGTCTAAAACGTAAAAGACTAAAATAAATATGAGGCTTGTTCCCTTGAAAAGTTACTCAAGTAGCTCGTGGAAATAGGGATTGACACACAATACAAATTGATTAGTCGATTTATTTGTCTAGTGTTGACATTGCCCGTTTCAACAACTACTATGGAGAGAACCTTTTTGAACAATAATACAGGTGAATATTTATTTGCGTAGTAAAATGAGCGATGAATTTTTCGCCGATTGGTTAACTATTTTATCTGAAAGAGAGTATGCTATTGGTATGAATGTAGACTCCATTATTGATGAATTCACTACATTAAAATTTAAAAGATGGACGTGTACAATTGATATTGTAAAAAAAATTACAATATTTAATTTTCTAATTAAATGCGGCCCAGTGCTCTACCGTGTCATGTATCCGCCGCTGATTGTATACATGTTATTCGAACTTTCCCTAGGTTTCATTCTGTAGATGATTATGTGTACCCATTACCCAAGTATCACAAACTCTATAAGTAACTAGAAAATGGTTGCGCTTTGTTGCGGGCCCAAGTAATTAGAAAAAACAGGATGGCCCATTATTGTTATTTTGGGAGGATGGTCCATTATTGTTGTCAGAACAGAAGCGTAGCAATCGAGAATCCAAATCAACACGAACGAACACAAATTTAACGTGGTTCACTAACACAATTTGTGCTAGCTAATCCACGGGCAGAGGATAACAAATTTCACTGATTTGAGGAGAGTACAGGTTACAAACCAAATTCCAAACGGACAAACCAAACAAACTAACCTGACTGACCTTACTACAAACTAGGGTGATGAAGAGTATTTATAGAACTCTTCTCCTAATCCCAAACAGAAAACCAAACACCTTTTCCAAACCTACAAGAAAAATGTCAAAACAAAGCCCAATCCCAAACCCAAACAGAATAGGCCTAAAACACAAAACAAACTCAAATCAAATTCAAGTCATATTCTAACAATTGTTCATTGGGCAAAATGTGAGAATATGCTTACCCGTGTAAAATAATAACACTATCATTAAAATTAATTATTTTCTTTTTCTATTTTTTATGGATGGCAAAAATATCGATAACTCTTGGAGTTGTCCAATACTTGTTATAAACACGCTGCTACCGATCAGGAAATCGCCAAAATCGATAAAGCAAGAATACGAAAGCGAGAATCGAAAAACACAGACACACGATTTACGTAGTTCACTAACACGATGTGTGTTAGCTAGTCCACGGGCGAGAGAGAGCCAGTTTCACTATATCGAGGAGATTACAGATTACAGAGAAGTATGAGAAGTATTTATAGTACTTCTCCTAGGTCTAACCCTAATCCAATCTGGTAATGGAAAACGGTTACAGACCGGGCCCAGAACCCGAACCCAAATAACATTGAGCTGGTACACCGTGGACCGGGGGAAACCCCACCGGGGCGTTGCCCCTAGACCCCACTCGCTAACCTGTCAGCGACACCCCCGACTACCAGTCATAGCGGCTGATAGTCCGATTCAAGTCACATCAACAATACTGGATGCAACTCTTTGTCCTCCCAAGAAGGTTCTTAAACAGATTCAGCAGGTATGCTCTTGATTGTTATGGCATGGGACTGATGCAGGCAGAGCTAAAGTGGCATGGGACTATGTGGCTTTACCAAAACATGATGGTGGTCTGGGGGTGAAGGATTTGCTATCTTGGAATCAAGCATGCACTATCTGAATGCTTTGGTTGTTCTTGATGAAGTCTGGGACGCTATGGGCGGCATGGATGTATGAATATAAGTGTGGGCAGTGGAATTTATGGTCTTTAAAGGTCCAATACAGTAGCTCGTGGACAAGGAGAAGGCTACTTAAATTGCGGTCTATTATTTTACCATGGATGCATAAGCAAAATGATACCATCTACTGGGACTCAAAGGAGATGCTGGTTTATTCAGTTCGCAGAGTGTGGGAAACGTTGAGGAAGAAGGCTCCAGAGGTCTCTGGGCACAAACTCGTGTGGAGCAACATCTGCCCCCCTCGTTATAGTTTGATTGTTTGGTTATTAAAGAAGAATGTCATTATCATGAGAGACAAGTTATTGCAATGGGGTAAGGTTATGGATGCTTCTTGACCTCTTTGTGGTTTGGATGTCGAGACTAGAGATCATCTGTTTCACTGTTGTTCCTTCTCTCTCAGACTTGCCTCACTTCTGAATTGCCATTTCTTGAGGCATAATGACTGGGATGCAATGGTGCAGTTTGTAAGTATTGCACTGGTAGGAACTCGCAAGCAAGGAAAATGGCATGCTCTAGTATGATGCCTAATAGTGTCGTTTATATGGATGGAAAGATGCAGAGTAGTTCATGGATCGCCATGTCGTGACCCTGTGACGGTAGTTGAATTGATAAAGGCCGACTTGATGTGTATAGCATGTTGGAATAGAGGAGTTCGTGATGCACTACAGGGCTTGGATACTTATAGTTTTGCTTTGTTCTTTTTGTAAGTAGTCTCATATAGGAGAGCAAGTGCTTGTGAGTTGTTTCTCTCGGGATCCTTTGTGATTCCGCTTCGTTGTATCGGTTGTTTTGGCAATAAAAGCAACTGATTAAACAAAAAAAATATCGATAACCGTGGATATCTGCCTAAATCAGATTTAATTGGGAAGGATAAAACCTTAACCCGAATGATTTTTAGTGGGTACGGGTAAAACCCAAACCCAAATATTGGGGTAATGGATGGGCATGATTTTCTCACTATCGATCCCGAACCCGCCCGATTATAAACGTGCCTGTGTATTTTTTTCTAAAAAATCATTATTTTTCTCTAACATATTTTATATTTAGCATATAAATATAATATTTTTATTAAATTGTGTTGATTTAATTAATTTTCTTGATTCTAGTAAATTGTTTTCGTACATTTTGTCATGTAATGTGAGAATACGTGTGAATATTAGCATATAGGTTGGAGTTATAAAGAGAAAATATTACCCATGGATAACCGCAGACACCCAAAACTCGAACAGGTAAGGGCGTTGTTTTGATTCTCTACCTGTTTTCTCATGTGAGTATGAGTATTAGTAAAATCCAAACTACTTTGGATAGGATAACGAATATGTACTATCCACACCGACCCGTAGCCAACCCTATTGTTTTTTCCATTATCTACTTTTCGTTCATTATCAGGATAAAGATTCTAGAGTCTATGGGGAATTCTCAAATCGAGAAGCATCTTATTGCATGTTCACTTGCCATTCCGTTTTCTGTTTTTCAGTGCCACAGCATAAATCAAGAAATATAATTGCAAAAATGTGTTCACTCTCATGTTTTGTTTTCGTTTAATAAAATGGGGAAGAAGGAATGTGGAAGCTGGCAAAAATGATAAATACTCGTTTCTTGGAATTAATGGCACGGGTTTCTCCCTGTTGCCCAGCGGAGAAACACTACTGTTCATTAATGAGGTCAAGACCCCAAACTTTTATTTTTTTTGGCATCATTTCTGTTATGACCTACACGCAGCTAAGAGATGCCGTTTTTGGCATTGGAAACCCTACTAGTGGCGGCAGTCTCCTCCAAGCTCCATCAAACACCTTCCTCCACTCCAGAAGCTCGGGCATCGTTGCATCCCACGAGAAGCTCGGCCGCCGCTTCTCCTCTAGCTGGGCCGCCGCAACTCCTCCAGCTCGCCGCCGCATCTCCTCCATCTCGGCCGCCGCATCTCCTCGTGCGACAAGCTCGGCTGCCGCTGCATCCCACGAGAAGCTCGGGCGCCGCATCTCCTCCACCTGGGCCGCCGCATCTCCTCCAGCTCGATGCCGCATCTCCTTCATCTCGGCCGCCGCATCTCCTCCTGCGGCTGCT